AAAGAGTGGGAAAGTATACTCAAAGTTTTGAGTGAAAAATAATTTTAACAAAGAATACTATATCCAGCAAGATTATCCTTCATATTAAAAGAGAACACAATAACATTCTTAGATAAACAAAACCTGAAAGAATTTGCTGACACTGGATCAGTTCTCCAAGAAGTTCTGAAGTTAGTGCTATCTCAAGAAAATTAAAGTAAGGCACACAGAAATAAGGGTTCTAAAACAACTAAGAGAATTGCCAGCTTGATGGTAGGGATAAATCCAGAGTTGAATGTTATCTTCCAGAATTTGAACAGAAAGATCAGACCACAACAGAAGATAGATTAAGTACATGAGTTCGAACTGGTGAAATAGGATTATATGACTTTTAAATAAAATATTACTGACATTCTTCTATGCTTTGTTTTCCAGAGTTAAGGATTTTTGTCTTGAGTTGTGGACAAGTCCATGTACCTACTATTTGAACAGAATCCTAAACTGTTTCCTGGATTTAAGTCTTATTCAAAGTTCTCTTAACATTTTTTAAAATTTTGATTTATTATAGCTAAAACTGCCTTTTTTGAAATTAAAAAATATATTAAAAAAAGAATGTGCCTGAGTTTGTGCCTCTCCTAAATAGCAGGAGGGAAAGGCACAAATTAGCAAGATAAAGGAGGGGGTTGAGGGACCAGAAAATATTTTATCATAAAAATGTTTTTAAATTAAGAAACAGAGAGAGAAGGAGAGATGGAGAGGATACAAAGGTTGCCCTACCAAACTAAAAATAAATCTAGAGGGAGAGATCTCAGCAGAAAACCTTCATTTTAGTCCCTGAAAGTAATATTTTACAGCTGAAGCCATCTCAGAATGGGCCTGGCTTTGTGCATCTCCTAAATGGGAGGGGGTGAAGGCACCAATTAGAAACATAAAGGAGGGGCTTGAGAGTCCAAAGAATACTTTACCTTTAAAAATTATTTTTAAAAATTAAAAGACACAGGGAGACACAGAGACAAAGAGAGACAGAGATGGAATGAAGGATACAGAGATTGCCCTACCAATCTAGAAATGAATCTAGAGGGAGAGGTCTCAGCATAAAATCTTCATTTTAGTTCCTGAAAGCAAAATTTCACAGCTGAAGTTCAGTAGACACATCAGAATGGGCCTGGGTTTGTGCCTCTCCAATATAGAAATAAATTTTGAGTGAGAAGTGTCAGCAGAAAGTATTTTTTTTAGTCCCTGAAAGCAATATTTCACAGCTGAAGTTCAGTGATCATCTCAGAATAGGTCTGGGTTTGTAATTCTCCAATCTAGAAATGAAACTGAAAGGAGAATTCTCAGTAGAAAATTTTCATTTTTAGTCTTTGAAAGCAATATTTCATACCTAAAGTTCAGTCTGTATATTG